TGAACTTGTATATAACATGGAAAAAACACTTTTCTTAACGTGTGTAGAAATACATGAAAAAAAAATAAAATTATAACATTCTATAGACAGAAAGCACCTTTCAATTTTAATTTTAAAATTTCTTCCCACTTCATATAGGAACAGTACTTCTCCATCCTTAGTTGAGCATGCCCAGTTCTTTGTGGGTTCAAGGTCTGGTTTTCTTGCTGCAGTGATAGTATTGTTTGCATCTCCCTTTGTTATTCCTTTCCAGGCCCAACTCCTCTTTTTTTTCCGTTAAGGATTTCTGCAAAAGCAATGGGCAGATTCCCTGCCTCCAGACACCCCTTAGAGGCTGGTGAACCACATGTATCTGGCTCTTGTAATGGGTTGTTAAAAGCACTTGTTCATCAGATATTTTCTTTTTATTTGTAGATTTAGAAGTATTTTAGCAGGTGTACATTTGCATATAAAAGAGAATAAAAGATAAGAAGTTGAGGCTTTTTCTTTCTCCTCAATACCATCTCTCTCCTACCTCCCTTTATTCAGCATGTTTTCACGTTCTTGCTCTAGCTGTTTCCATTTTCTAGACACAAAATGCGTATCAAAAAGAAAAAAAATCTTCTTAGTGATCTCTGAGCACTTTGCAGGAAGATGGATGATTGGGTTCTGGCAGCTTATGTAACAGTAGAGGCACCGTATTTATCTCATTGTGTCATCAGCCTGGAATCAGTAGACAGGATAGATTTTAATCTCTTGGAGCTGGATACTACATAGGATGCAGACCCTCATTTTGTTTTATGTTTTAAACTGCAGTATTTTCTACCTTTTAAACAAAACTTGACAGAATTGAATATGTAATGGATGCTTGACTGCAAGTTTCAAAACTGAAAACTTGAGAATGTGTGTGTACTTGTTTCTGTGTATGAAAAGAACTGTATTCCTTAGAAATGGTGGTTTCATCTAATTATTTTCATTGCTCCCTAATTTTTTGAGTAGTTACCATTATGAATGGGAGAACTGTTTTCCTGGAGTTCCAAGGCACAGGGCTACAAATGTACATAAAACTTTTAAGAGCCATCCAGTCTTCGGATTTTCAAACTTATGGCTTGCTTGCAGCTGAAAAGACTAGATTCTTTTCCCCTTCGAAATATATGAACTTTGGCCCTTCAGTTATAGCCGGCTAATTTTCACTTTCTTTTTTTTCCCTACTTTTTTCTCCTTATTCATTTATCCTTTTATTTAATAATTGTGAATTTGCAGGCAGCAGAACAGCGTCCTTTTAACTGCTTGATTCTTTGCCATCTTTTTCGTTCCAGAAAAGCTTAGACCCAAGCTACCACTAAGCCTATGTATATTGCTTGGCCTTTTTGTACTGTGAAGTTGGCTTCCTGAGTATCTTCTTGACTGTTATAGGAAGGGTTCTGAATTGTTTGAGAACCCTTAGCAAAAAGTACACTCTTGCCTGTGGAGAGAGGCCCACACCATTTAAAAATCTTCACACAGCTGACGCAGCCTCCCTGGGTAATGTTCCAAGACTTCACCCTTTCCTGGCATCTAGCTTATGTCCTTAAGATGCAGCTTTACTATGTTATGTGCTATTCTTACCGTGATAGAAAGTTCCCAGAAAGAACTCTTGCATCCTGAGCTGAATTTCCAGCAAGACTGGCCAATTGATAAATACTTCAGTGATTGTGGAGAGTTTGGAATGCTGCAGATCCAGAACCTATTCACAAATTATCTGGGGAAATCTCTAACCCCATAAATAGCCACACCTTGCCTACCTCTGTTTCTGAATTAACATTCTTGTGATTAATAAATGTATTAACTTAGCAGACCACCAGGTCCCACACCAATCAAAAACCTAAGAATGTCATCAGATAGAATCTGAGACCTATAGTAGAACCCCCTGAGTCCTCGCCACCCCCATCCCACTTTTCTAGGACCTCCCTACTGAATATATCCACCAGTGTATTTGAAAAGTGTCTCGGTTTATGACTTTTCTTTGTTCTGTTACTATAAAAACATAACGTTACTGCTACCACTCTGGAACGTGGAATTTGGGGTAACCTGAATCTGTGCTCCCGGGCCATGGTGACTCATATTTGGCTCCAGAATAAATTATCTCTTATCCCCTTTGAGGTGAGAGTTATGCTTTTGTGTCGACATTATTAAACATAAAAATTACCAATAATCTGCTTTCTAAGGTGCTGATTACGTTGTTTGGCCTATACAGTGCTTTATTTAAAGAAAGAAAAAGGCACAAGTCTGATAAGACTAGGCCCATTTTCCTCCTATCAGCAATTGACTGCAAGTAAGCACTGCTGTCCTATGCATACAAGCGCATGCTCCCCAGCCTGCTGCAGGGCTGTCCCTTACCATGGTACCCACGTAGCCAGAGTCTCTTCTTTGTGGTACCTACGTGACTTCATGTAGTGTCTGCATTCATCATCCCTCTTTATCGAGTCCATTTGCAGTATCTGTTCCCTTGAACATCCCTTTCCCTTCTCAGATTGTTTCTGTGCATGTTGAATATCCTGCAGCCACCCCTAAGTTTTAAAAATCAAACCCTATTAATCCTGTTTTTGCTATTTGAATCATCTCCAAGTCCTCCATATATTGCTCTGTGTAATGAGTCTGACCAAAATAAAGGTGTAATATATACTGTGGGAAGAATGATTCCAGTTTTCATTTCTGTAGTCATGCCTCAGGTTCTGTTTATTCATCCTTGTACCTTTGAAACTTCACTTAGTCCTAAAACTTTTGGAGGAAGCACGTGCTGGGGTGGATGAAGTGCCCAGCAGTCCTCAGTCTGATTTTGCCAGTCCTTTATTACTCAGGTCAAGGCAACTGCATTCCACTTAAAAATGTGTGCTCCAGGAAGCCTCAGTGATACTCTGATGGGAGAAGGGCCACCAAGGCTGAAGGATGCAGTATGGTACAGAGCATGATTGGGAAGGAGCTGGTCCTGATGGTGTAGTATGACAAGAAAGTAAGCCATCTTTTTCTGAGGCTGTGAAGGCAGACTTGAAAGGAGACCTTGATGACAGGGCCCAAGTTCTGCAAGCAGCAAGAAAGAGCCAGGCTGGTAATACACAACAGTAATCCAGCACTGGAGAAATGGAGGTAGTACTGGCCTACAACAGTGAGACCCTGCCTCAAAATAACCAATAAAAGAAAAAAGGAAGAAGAAAAGAAGGTCACATTGGAAAGCATGAGGAACATGGGAGGGGATCTATCTTTCTAGTGCTGTTCAAAGTCAATTCACTTCACATTGGTAAATATTTTTCCTTGTTAGACTCAGCACACTCTTATGTTTGGACAGAATGCTGATTCCTCCCAGTCTGAAATTCCCTCCTGGCTACCAATTGCTATTTCTCATGAAGTCCACTTCTGAGAGTTAGTAGAATGTGTCATCCCACTTTCTGAGAATCATGAATACTTCTTCCTGGAGTTAGATGACTTCCTAAAGACAGTAGGCAGAGGCCACTGGAGGGCCTCTCCTGAGCACGTGGCTCCTCTCTTTTTGGTCTTCTTTTAGCTCTTATCTTTGCTACTTTTTCCTTGACATTGAATATAGCCATTAATATCGGGACTTGTATTCTAGAAGCTGAAAAACTGTCTGGTTAGATTATGCACTAAAACATATTTTTCACCTCTTGCACACTGATCTTTTGCATTTAGATTATAGATGCATTTAGATTAGATGCAATTTAATTTTATTAATCTATTTTCCCTGCCCAATTCACTTTATATCTGAAGGAATATGGATGCTAGGCTTAGCTGGGGCATATTATTGGACTTCCTGTTGGAACCAGCCTCCACCAGGCAACACTTGGTGGCAGGTCAGTCCTCACAGTGCACATTCACACACACGCATGCATTCAGGCACATGTGCACACACTACACAATACTTTTCTGTATGCACTGCGTCTCACCTAAATTGAATTTTCTAAAATGCTAATTCCATCACACTAAACTGACTTCCCAATCCAGCGATGTTAAAAATAAATAAATATTGCCTTAGAACCAGGTACGGTGGCATATGCCCTAAAATCCCAGCACTCGGGAGGCAGAGGCAGGCAGATCTCTGTGAGATCTAGGCCAGCCTAGTCTATATAGTGAGTTCCAGGCCAGCTGGGGCTACAGAAAAACCCTGTCTCAAAAAACAAAAAAACTGTGTGTGTGTGTGTGTGTGTGTGTGTGTGTGTGTGTGTTTGTCCTTAGGATTTATTACCTTCAGAATTAAACTTCTCCCAGATCTATACATATTTTAATTATATACTGTTTGTTACCAAGTACGGTGTTCATTTTGAATAATCATTTTTAACTTGGTTGATTCTCACTATGACAAGATAAGTTATATTTTAGTTCTTCAGCTTAATCTAGTAATAAAGGGCTCATGGCCAAGTTCTTAAAGAGCCAGCCAATTATTTTGTGGCCCCGTAGAAGATGTGGAGCAGGGCTACTGTTTTGTTCTGTCTTCATTAAAACCCTGTTCTCTATTCACCATTTCACCCAGGTATCCATAGAACTTAAGATAATGGGGAAGGTTCTATCACATAGGGCCTTTTCCTAATTTTTGTCAACAGTCTTTCCCAGTAGTCTTCCCCAGTATAACATACAGCAGGCACTGTTAGAATCCCTGCTGATCTCTCTGGATACCTGGCTTTGCTTTCTACTGGAACACTTCCTCTCCTCCCCTGGGATTAGATTTTCTCAACTGTGGGACTGTGAATCTGCCACTGTCTTCTCCCCCTTCACCCAGGCCTCTCTCAGAGTCCCATACTCTAGTATGAGAGCCTAAGACCAGGGCTCAGATTGCCCTGGAGTGACCGACTGCCCAGGATGTCTCTGGTTGATTTTTGGAGCTGCTTCTGCAAGACTGGAAAGGTAGAAAAACTATTTTCCTGTGACATTGAACCTGTATACAGACCCACCCAAAAACTGAGTGGAATTTGCTGCCTCAAACTCTTTAAAAACTTATCTTTGTATCTTAAAATTTAGGCTCAATTAAATTTGTAGTGAGCGTCTGTTATCCCAGCACTTGGGATGTAGAGTAGGAAGACTGCAAACTTGGACTATGAAGAAGTGTCTCTGAATAGTAGAAAATACAATGTTTCTTTGCCCCCACCTTTTTTTTTTCATGGATAGAAACAAAAGCCTACCAGTTGCTGAAGAAGTCTACCCTTCAGGATAATTCAAACCAAACTGAAGAGACATTTCAAAGTGAATTTTCAAGTAAGTAAGGGCAGATTCACCCTTGAATCCTGTGGCAGGGGCACAGGACAACAGCCAACAGTGCTAAAAGAGGCATAGCTTTTAGAGTTTGCTTTGTAACAAGTGAGTCAGAGTAAGCAAATACCTTTTCATCCTTAGCAAACAGGTATTTGGAAGGGCCCTCCCTTTTGGATTTGTGGGACCCAGTATGTTAACAGCCCTCACAAACTGTTGGATTCTATCTGCCGTGCCATAGTAGTAGCTTGTGATCAGGAAGCACAGGAGATGTCCCAAACTTCTTCTCTTGCTACATCTCCTAGTTTCTTAACCATCAAATGTCAGCTTTGTGCTGGATCCTCTCTCATTGGAATGTTGGGAAATTCTCAGCTCATAGGATGAAAAGATATAAATCCCATGAATGCTAAATTTTAAGCATAAGTTTAGTTCCTTTAACCTATGATTTTTTTATTATCATTTTCTTACATTTGCCTATTGTACATTTATTGTTTTTGTAGTTTTTCTCTTATTATATCCTTTTTTAAGGTATTAGTCGATTTAGTCACCTTTACAAAAGACATAGGATATAGAAAATGCACGTGAGTGGCTTTATTTTCATATAATCATCAGTCTGTAATTTTTCAGAGTTATACAGTGATTTTTTTTTGGGGGGGGGGTCTTTTTGAGACAGGGTCTCGTGTAGATCCAGCTGGCTTGGAACTCACTATGTAGACCAGGCTGACTCATAGAGATCTGCCTGCCCCTGCCTCCCAAATGCTGGAATTAAAGGCATGTGCCATCACACCCAGCCACGCCATACAGTGATTTCTTAATATCACATAATCCTTGGATCATTTTGAGATTTCCAGTTGTCTAAAACATGTCTTCTTTAGACAGATACTTTTTTCAAGGCATATATGTAAGGTGCATCAGAACTGTCTGTCTTTGGAGAATGAATTCCTAGATAGTATTAGTGATAGAGTCATTTATTTTGGTTGTTTTGAGGGTTCAGTGAGCCACTTCTGCTTAAAGGCCCAGCACAGGGCCTGGGAGTGAGAAACTCCTCGGGAGAGCCAGCCCCGTGGTAGTTATGATTTGAACTCTACAAATATAAGACATCATAGTTTGTTGAGGTGCAGCACTGGCCCTCTGTCCTGAAGGAGGTTCTGATTGCTTTGGAAAGTGTTGAGCCAGGTGTGGTGGTGCAGGCCTTTAATCCCAGCACTCAGGGGACAGAGGCCAGTGGATCTCTGAGATCAAGGCCAGCTTGCTTGGACTACATATTGAGTTCTAGGCCAGCTAAGGCTACAGAGAGACCTTGTCTCAAAAAACAAAACAAAACAAAAACAAGAATAACAACAGCAAAAGAAGATATTAAGTGTTTGCTTGTCATCGTTTTGTTCACATTTGAATCACACAGTCAGAACCCAGATGGGTCTTAGAAGGTATTTGTCCATTCCCCATATTTTACAAAGTCCCAAGAAAGTAATGCCTTGCTCAGAACATAGCTGCTTAGCAGATGCACAAGGTTGAGAAAGCAACTCTGCAAATGTTTTTGGCAAGCATATTTTTGTACCTGGTTAGCAGGTGCAAAAGATGAGTATTTGACATAAATTGTCATCTCTTACTGGGCATGGCAGTGCATGCCTTTAATCCCAGCACTTGAGAGGCAGAAGCAGGCAGATCTCTCTGGGTTTGAGGCCAGCCAGGGATACAGGGAGACCCTGTCTTAAAAAAAATTACCATCTCTTAGATATCTATAAAAAATTATATTACTGGAGCTAGAGAGATGACTCAGTGGTTAAGAAATCTTACTACACTTGGAAAGGCCCCAAGTTTGGTTCCCCAGTACCTACATCAGGTGACTCACAACCAGCTATAACTCCAGTTCTAGGGGATATGACTAGCTTTGGCCTCCACAGGAACCTGTACAAATATGGTAGGAACCTGCACACATATAGTACACATGAACTCACATACATACACATAAATAAGACAATAAATTATAGTACGAGTAAATATACTAATAACTTTTTGCAACTTTTAAGATGTATTTTTATTTTGTGTGTATGACTTTCACCTGCATTTGTCTATATGTACCATGTATGTGCCTATGCCTGCAGAGACCAGAAGAGGACATCAGATCCCTAGAATGGGAGTTACAGATGTTTTCAAGGTGCCATGTAGGGTCTGGGAAGCAAACCCAGGTCCTTTGCAAAAGCAGCAAGTGCTCTTAACCACTGAGCCATCTCTCCCATCCCTAAATAATATTTTTTATTTATTCTTTAAAAACTTCATTTTTTTTAACTTTTTAAAAATTTTTAAATATTTTTTTATTTTATTTGATGTGTATGTGTGTATTGCCTACATGTAGATAAGTGCACCTGTTTCGTGCAATGCCTACATTGGTCAAAAGAGGCTATCGGATCCCCTGGGACTAGAGTTACGGACAGTTGTTAGCTGCCATGTGGATGCTGGGATTCGTACCCAGGTGTTCTGCAAGAACAACCAGTGTTCTTAACCGCTGATCCATCTCTCCAGCCTCATAAAACTTCATACCTTTCATACAGTATATGTTGATCATATCTTATTAAAGTTTTCATAAGTGAAATGGCACTTTGCAGATTGTATAGGTAAGCACTGCCAGGTTCGGTTCCCCCAGTCCATCTCATAGTGACAATATATGCTTTGCAAGATTCCAGTAGTCTGATAGTGGAACCACATAGGTGTTTCTGATGGTACTGGCTGCCCTTGGAGTTGACAGTGCCTCTGGCATTCACTTTCCATTAGGTTGTGCATTACCTTTCACATCTGCTCTTCTCAAGTCCTTCTGTGAGCTGCACAGAGAAGCAGAAGGCCATCTGGAAGGGTGAAGGGAAACTTCACAGCACTTAAAGACAGTGAGGGTCGGGATCTCAGCTCCACATTTCACTCCTGAATAAAGTCATACTTTGTTTTAGGTCTCTTGTCTCCACTCCTGTCACAAAGGAAAGCCAATTAAACCTTGAGCCTTGGTTTTTATAACCAAAAGTCTTGTCCTGTTAAGAATGTGGAGACACTGTTGGACTGGATGTGTCCACATTGCTAAAAGAATGACTGCTACCAAGATTATATGCAGGCCAGCCAGTTACAGGTTAGAAACTCAGCAGGCCTTTGGCAAAGCTGCCTGTGCACTCTCAGTCTGGGATCTTGAATAACTGCTCATTGAAACCAGATGGTCAACAGAAGTATCTGAGGCTGGGCATGGTAGGGAGAGTCCAAGTCCCCAGGCCCCAGGGAAAGAGGTGAGTTATGCATCCTTACCCTTGACCTTCTCAGGCTAAGACAATGGCCTTGACAGCTTTCAGTGGAGATTTGTTCTTCTTTATAGGATCAGAAACAGGATTTGACAAAGGGGCAGAAGAGTAGGCAGGGTGGGTCCTTGTCAGCCAGAAGTGTTAATTATTTCTGAGGTCTGGTTCCCAGTTACAGTGTCTTGGTGAGCCATCCCTGCCTGTATCCTAACAATGTTAATTATTCAATGTTATGTGCCACAATAAAAACCCATGTTCTTATGTGTACATCTTGGTCATTTAAAGGCAGAGCTTGCAGAGGATTTAACTCTTGTCATAGGGTGCTTGCCTAGCAGGTGTGAGGCCCTAGGTTCAATCCCCAGTGCCCCCCCCCACACACACACACAAATAATAAGTAAAAACTGAAACAGCACTTTTTGGGTGGTTTTGCTTTTTACTTTTTTGTGCAGCTTCTGTTTAAGTATCACAAGGAAAATTCCCCATTTCCTTTCAGTGTTCTATAAGCATTTTGTCCCTGGCCTTAGAAGCTCTCTTATGTTCTGTGGCTTTGACCAGAATCCTTCTGTTTTTCCAAAATTACCAGGAGGCTGTTTTTGTGCTTCTTTCGTGGCTGTGTGGCGTCTCTCACTCTCCTTGTTTGTGCTTATCACAGGTTTGAATATTGGCAACATCACATTCAAGACAAAGACAGACCACAGAATTGCTTCGGAGGCTAGTTTTTCATCTAGTGAAGGAAGTCCTTTGTCAAGGTAAAGTCACGAAAACCTTTCTGAATAGCAGTAACAAGATGAAAAATGTCGCTACTCAGTGAATTAAATTCTGGCTGTATGGTACTTTGCTTCGTGACTTGTTGGAGGGTTATGGTTTGGGTTTTTGTTTATCTAAAATAACAGTTGAAACTTTAGTCTACCTTTGAAAATATTTGTACCCGAGCCAAGTATTGTTTTGCAGCTGCTGTTTCCCTGGTTTAAGTCTCAATTGACACCTCAGTGAACCACAAATTAGCAACTACAGCTGCTCGCAGTAGGATTGCTTAGAGACCACATAATGGAGGTTGTCAGGAAAAGGGCAGAGAGAAAACATCAGGCCTTAAAAGAAATAAAGTGGCATGTTCCTTCTGAGGCACCTGATAGATAAACTTGTAATTGCTGGATATTAGTTTTGTATTTTTTTACCAAGTATTTGGGCTCTGTTACTCTTTCTTTCTCTGATGTTTTCTTGGTTATTTCCCTTAAAGAACAGATTCATCTTTTCACAGTTGTTAAAATGTAACACAAGCTTTGTGAGCAATGGTGAGTTGTATGCTGAATTTGTCAGCAGCATGCAACCCTAATTATGCAATGACTTCAAATCACTTAGTTTATAATGTGAATATAAGCAATTGCCTGATGCAGTGACTACTCTTTTACTTTGGGATAAATACCATTTAAAACAGCCTAGCAAGTTGCTTTTGTAATAGCATTGCTCATTAAAAAGGTGTCCTTTAGATGATTGTATTACCTTTGAATTTACTACTTGACCCTGATGAAATTTTAAAACATGACCTTTAGATTTCCAGTGCCACATGTAATGTCCAAATAGCATAAAATGATCTGATCCAGAAATGTATTGAGAAATGAAATGAAAGCAAAAAAAAAAAAAAAATCCTTTCATTTGTATTTTATAAAAGCTTTATGATATTTTAGGACCTGGACTATTTAAATGAGGTTAGTTTTCTAAAATTTTTGCTTTTAGAAACTTGACAAGTATCCAAAATGCTTATTTAGTTATCAGGAATGAGTATCTGCCTGACTTTTCAGTCCCATTTTAGGAGGAAGTAGGAGGCAACTGGATTAGCAAGTGCTGAAGTACTGTATGGTTAGGGTTATACTCTAAATTCAAGTTCTAGGACTTTTGCAAGAATTTTGCAATAATTTCTATCGTTTCTAGGATTTCATGTTATCATTTGGCTTAAAAATTCATCCTTTCAGTTTTTAAAGATAGAAGTATTGGTGTCCATTATGTTTTAGAAATACTTATTTTTAAGATAAATTCTTTTTAAACTTTATATGTGTTTTTTGGGGAAAATTTTTGATACATTCAGAAAGCAATAGGATTTTGTAGGACATTTTCTCAGCCTGATAATTTCACATCTTGGCTACAGTTCACCAACTAAAATTGAATTTTTTTTCTCCTGCAAATTATAGCAGAGGCTTTTTGTCATTACAATTGTCCCTGCATGAAATTAATTTCCTAATAAATCACAAGTAATCTCATCACCTCCTTTAAGAAAAACAAATAAAACCCACTAAAAGGTCTACCAGGAACCCTTGGCTCTAGACACTTGATAGTAATCCAGCATGAAAGGGTCCAGACGAGGAGTGCATGGCTTGGCGTGCTGTTGGTCACAGTTTGGTTCTTGTGCTGGGTCTGGTATTGTTAATACCCCACCCTGGGCTTTGGAGAGCTTGGGTTCTGCTGTTTGTGCCTGGCTCCACTGAGATTTCTTAGAGGCTTACATTTAAGGGTCCCACTTACTGCAGTCACTCCTTGTGCTTTATTGCTTTTACAAGTGGTCTCGAAACCTAGTACTTGAGAATAAACATAACAGTGCTGCGCTGCTGTAGCACTTTTAAAAATTCTTCTTTGCTCTGTTTTGTCAGTGAGCTGATGAGCAACCTCAGAGAGAGAGAGAGAGAGAGAGAGAGAGAGAGAGAGAGAGAAGGAAAAAGAAAAAGACCCCACTGGACCTTAAAAAAGGGGGGGGCTTCCTCTGATGTCCTAGAGACAATAATTATGATGTGCTAGTTAAGCCCAAACTACAGCTGAGGGATTTTACTTTAAAGCAGCGGCTTGGGCGCAAAAATGCATTTATAGCTCTTTGTCTGCACCTCATTATGTGTGGGCCTGATTCATTAAGTAATTGGTTTGCAGTTGTTTACATGAGTATTAAGGCCTTCTTTTCAGCCGCCTTTGAGAGATACATTGTGCAAATGTTGCTTGTGATGCATGCAGAATGAGGGCCAGAGGGTCTGTCCTATTGGCTAAACAGTGCACTCTGTTGAAAAGCCAGAGAAAGGGATTGGGTGCTGCTTTGCATAGCAATGACTTTCTTAATAAGCGTTACAGATTAATACACACAAGCTATAAAAGATGCAAAGAGATACTCTTAGCACATTTATACATGCTCATTTCATTGTGATGGTGGGGTCCTGGTGCTTTCAGATTCCGTTCTTCAGAGCAGCGGCTTCAGTGCATGAGCCGTAATAGAATCCGATGTTTATTGTATTATAAATCACGGGCAAGTAGGCAGATCGGCAACAGTTTATTACTAAAGATTCTTTCAGTGTAAATCGTTTTCTACCATTGTATTTGCTTCAGTAAAATCATTTTGTGGTTGAGTGGGGATGAAAGGCATGATGTACGAAGGAGTGAGTCCTAATAGGAAGCTGGTCTCCAAGTAAAGACCACTTGTTCCCTTTTGTTCCAGAGTGCATGCCAGAGCTTTCTCCCTTCTGCAAACATTGTCTGGCTTTACCTTCCCCCAGGAAGCGGTTTCCACACCCGGATCCGCTCCTTATAGTTTCAACTGGTGCTGCCTTGTAAACACAGCCTTCTGGCAGAATCAAGATAAGATATTTACCAGAAGAAAATAGTATGCCTTGTAGCATGATTGCATGGGAGAACCGTAGTAAAAGTCACCCAGCCTCGCCAGCCCTTAGCAGGACCACCGTGGGTGGCATTCCGGGCCAGCCCTGCAGCTACGGGAGTGGCCAGCGGAGGGCGCCAGCGTGCAGCTGACGTCCCGGTGGTGGCAGAAACCGCTTTTCCTGCCCATTCATTCATATCATTTTCCCTGGGATAATATAAATTAGATCATGAGAATCCAGTTGTCTATTAAAATAAAAAAGAGTTTTCCTAGAAGTCCTTTAGGTTTCCTTATAACAGTGCCACCTCCTCCCCTAGCTTAGAAAATCTTTCACCATTAAAAAGATGCATTCACGCTGAGTTAGAAGTTCCCTAAACGTTCCACTGTGCTTATCATAAATCCACATATTTTGCTTTGTTTTGTTTTTTGTTTTGCCTTGTTTTGTTTTGTTTTTCTTACAGAGAAGACTTTTGCATAAGAACAATCACCTGGTTATTTCAGGGAAAGAAGTTAGCAAGCTGACCCCAGGCAGCTGAAAGTAGCATGTGCCGGCAGACGTCCCACTAACCATCAGGGGGCGCTCAGACTTTGTCAGAGTTAACGGCCTCTGAGTGGTGGTTTTAAAACTTAAAATTTGTGTTCGTGGAGATTTGTTGGCATGATTGCTTGGATTTTTTTTCTTTCTGAATTACTTTTTGCCTTACATTTTCCAGAAATATGTCTATTTTGAAGGAAATTCCAACTGAAGATTCCATTTGAGATTTGGGTATTTTGTTTTGGGACAGGATCTCACCATGTACCTCTGGCTGCCCTGGAACTCAGTTTGTATACCGGGCTGGCCTCAAATTCAAAAAGATCCACCTGCCTCTACCTCCTGAGTACTGTGATTAAAAGCATATACCACCATGCCCGGCCCTATTTGAAAATTTTTAATGCTGACTGCAGAAAACAATCAAAACCACTAAGATTTTTGTAATTCACAACCTTGATACCATACCTTCTCATAAGTTAGTTTTTTTCCAGTCTGTGTGTGTCTGTGTGTGTGTGTGTGTGTGTTTATGTTTGTATAGGTGTGTGTGCACATGTGTGGGTGTGTGCATGTATAAGCCAGAGGTTGACATTGGGTGTTTTCCTTCATTGCTCTCTCCCTCATTTTTTGAGACAGGGTCTCTCAGTGAATGTGGAACATACTGATTTGACTCTGGCTAGACTGGCCAGCCAGTGAGCCCTAGGGATCTGCCCAATTCCACATTATCACTATCACCCCCCACCCCACCCCTAGCACTAGGGTCACAGATACATGTCCATATCCAGCTTCTACATGGGTGCTGGGAATCCAAACTCAGGTCCTGATGCTTACATAGCAGGCCCTTCCCCTCCTGAGCTATCTCCCAGCTTATAGTAATAAGGCCCTAGAATAGGAAGGATACTTCCCACTGCAAGCTATTTCTTATTGTCCTCAGTACCATAGGTTTTGTTCTTAGCAGGGGCCTCAGAGTTCATTGCCAAATTGGAGTGACATGACCCCAAAGTCAAGTAACGGGTTTGTTAATGGGCTGTGAATATTTTTTCTGTAGAAAAAAGATAGATTGGGAGTCAGTGTGTTACTAACTTTGGCACATCCCCCAGGTCTTCTTAGTCTCCAGATTCCTCCTCCTCTCAGCCCATCCCAACTGCTTCTGCTGCAGCCAGTCTCCCAGGAGGCCCTATGGCATGTACCCTCTCCAGCTAGAGTGGCCATACTCGAGGTGCCCTTGTAATCCTACTGTGTGGGCTCATGGAGTGTCCTTAACAACATCAGTTCACATGTCATGCCCTGATGTGGCATAATATTCCTGTGTCCCTGGCCTTTATTTCTGTTCTTTGGTTGAATTGCTCCAACCTCACTGTTTTCTTGGCTTCACTCAACCTTCCAAGTGCTTCCTGAGCAGAGGATGGCTGTGCACAATGCCCCTCTGGTGACCCTGTGGCTGTTTTCTTCCACGATCTAGCTAGGATAGAAGCCTTGACCTCCCTTCCCACATGAGCTTTTCATTGGGGTGCCAGATATCTTTATCACCAGGGCTGCATAACTGTTGAACTTCCTGAGAGAATGGTCTCTACCATTTACGCAAGCATTTC